GAAGAATTGATGCCTTTGAATTGTGGTGCTGGAGGAGGCTCTTGAGAGTCCCCTGGACTGCAAGGAGAACAAACCTATCCATTCTAAAGGAAATCAACCCTGAGTGCTCACTGGAAGGACAGATCCTGAAGCTGGGGCTCCAATACTTTGGCCATCTCATGAGAAGAGAAGAATCCCTGGAAAAAACCCTGCGGTGTGTGCAAGTGTGTATGCGCAATTCTTGAACCTATGGAAGTTACTAGGTCATTTTAAAAACTCCCATTTGTTGCTTTAAAAAGAAATATAGAGTGTCAGATGACTTGTATATTTTTTATAGCTGGCAAACCTGAGTTTAGACGACCAGAACAATGTGGGAGAAGAAACCCAATAACGATATATATATGACTTACAGGCATTTTGGGATGTGGTGTGAATAGAGGAGTCTGGAATGAGAACAAAGGAAGAAAAAGTGAGATTTAAGAAAATGTACATAATAATCTTTAAGCAATTGTAGCACAAAATGCATCCTATCTCCACTATCTTTGTGATATGGATCCAGAAGTTAAAAGCATACAGTCCAGCAATCCTTCTGCACAGACAAGCATTTATGCACTCAGTACATACACAGTTCTTAGGCATGCAACAGTCTTGTAACATTTTCTATGATCAAACAGGATCACTGAAATTGCTTAGATGACATCCCATTCATCTAATCAGTTTATCGAGTAGACATGGTCTAGAGGGGCGGGGTATAAATAGATAGATAGATAGATAGATAGATAGATAGATAGATAGATAGATAGATAGATAGATAGATAGATAGATAGATAGATAGATAGATAGATAGATAGATAGGACTACATGCCCAAGAACAATGGAGCTGGGTCCAGAGAAACTCTTGTCTAAATCAGTTTCTCAGTCTTTGATAACTTCTTATTACACAAAACCAGATTATTTCTTCAATTTGTACACTGGACAGTTTTTTCTCGGAGTATACCTTGTTCTTACCACATCTTCCGTGGTCTGGAGAGGAACCAGATATCAAAATACTATTGACTGCAACTGTGTGGCAGACTGTCCTTCCTATCTCCATAGGAGCAACCTCAAGCTAATGTCCTCCACTGCTTCTACACTCTCCTGATACTGTAGAAAATACCGTGATTCCCGAAACATTTTGGAGTGTCTCTCTCCATCCTTCCCAACTGAATTTATGCACTCACTCTGTTCATTACCTACAAAACGATCACCACTGCTGCTGGAGATCAAGAATAAGATCATCCATGCAGTGGTCGCCCCATTGCTATGTACAGAGGTGAAAACTCAACAGTGAAGAAGACTGGCAGGGGTTAAAAATTGACTTATTTGAAACACTGGATTGGAGGAGAACTTCATGGATGTCATGGGCAATCAAAAAGACCAACAAATAGCTTGTAGGTAGAGTCAGACGGAATTCTCACCAGACGTTAGAATGACTCAACTGATACTATTATGCTTTGGCCGACCATGAGAAGACGGGATTCAATGGGAAAGACAAAAAACCCTCAAGAACAGTGGAGGGCAGTAGGGCAACTGGAAAATATAACGTGAAACAGATTGACTGAATAACAACAGTCATAAGCTTGAGTTTGCAAGACTTGAGAAGGACTGTTAATGATTGGACCTTCTAGAAATTCACGCGGTCATCATAAGATGGAATCAACTTGGCAACACACAACAATAGCAACTCTATGCTGTCCATTCAATGGTACGTACTGTTCCTGGCAAACCTGGAGGGCCTGGAGCACCAACATCACCCTAGAAAAAAACAACCAGAGATGTGGCTTAAAAGTATGTTTAAAGCAACACAACAGATTCTATGGGAATGACCTGAAACAACCTCCTCTCATGCGATTTCAACCAGTTCATATACAGTGGTGCCCCGCATAGCGACGTTAATCCATTCCGGATTAATCGTCGCTATGAGGAAACATCGCTAAACGGAACGGAAAACGCCATAGGAACACATTAAACTTAGCATTTCAACCAGTTCTTATACTAAAAACCTTCTGTGAAGATACTCAGTCATTCAGGTGTGGCTATCTGAAAGTTGAGTCATGGCAACTGGACTTCTTTCTTGTTAGGCTGAAAGTAGACATGGGGACGAATAAAAAAAAAAGGATCTTGATATTCATCAGAAATCGTGGATTTCTTAAATATTCATCCATTCATATTCATGGGTGGTGCAAAAATACTGGACATGGGGACGAATAAAAAAAATTGATCTCGATATTCATCAGAAATCGCGGATTCGTTAAATATTCATCCATTCATATTCATGGGTTCCAGAGACCCCCGACGACTATGAAGGGATGAATATTGCCCCATTTTTATTCATTCCCCGTATGAAGAGAAGGAAGGCTAACCTTCCCTCTCTTCCTATGGCTTTCCCATTCTGCCTACCATCACAGACTATTCCCCACCCTCTTCCTCTCCCTATCTTAGCCACCCCCACCCCCTCTTCCAAGATCTTCAATTCGTTTGTTTGCAGATAAAGAGAAAGCCCGGGTGTGCAAAAACAGACGGAGGGGAAGACTTCGCCCTTTACTGGCAAAGTGGAATTATGCCATGCAACTATGGAACAACAGGAAGAAAAGGGAATAGAAACAAAACAGTGTACTGAATATTTCAAAATGCATACATATTGCTAAGAATTAATTTCCATGGAATGCACAACGACCTCAGAATCTATTTACTATTAATGTAAGCTGTGTAGAGTTTCATGTGGATTGTATGAGAGTGAGTTGGGTTGGATAAACTCATGGCGAGGGAAGGAAAACACCTTTGATGGACCACAATTTCTCACTTGTTTCAATATTGTAGATCTTGCACCCTTGCTGTACGCAGGTATGTTACTTGGGTATACGAGAGTACAGAATCTTTCCACTTCTGTCCATTTGTTAGGCAGAAACTCACCTTGTCACCTCTTTCCCCTTTGAAGCCAGGCAGTCCAGCTCTTCCTTTTTCTCCCTGCCAAACACAAAGAACACAAACAAAGTGTGTTATCATACTGGGCAGCACTTGCACCCACCAAATATTTGCTGCTATTCAGCAGAAGGTAGTAAATCAAAGCTCAAGAGGAAGCAGTTTTCATTGTATTAAACCACAAACCTGGTGAGCAAAAAGAGGCAAGAAGATTGATTGCAGCCAGGTTTCTAAGAGAGAGACTAAGCCAAGACCAGCCTGACCCGTATTAACCTTTTCTTGGAATATAAGTTCTTTTTCTTGAAGGCTTGGACAAAACCTTGCAAACACATCAAGATTACCTACCTGATCTCCTTTTTCTCCTCTCATTCCTGGCAACCCAGGTGGGCCTGGCAAGCCAGCTTCACCCTAACTCAGCAAGCAGGAGAATGGAACAGAGAATAAATAAATAAAAACAGAGCATAAAGTTAAAAAGCCAGCTGTTGAACTGGAGAAACATTAAGAGGAATAGCTAAAAGTTCCAGTTTTCACCCAGCTCTTTTATTCCCAAAATGAGAATATGCCCTTTGGTCATAACAATCATCTATAAGTAGCATAAGTAGAAAAGAAAAGCATCTTTACTTACAACTGTGGAATGTCAGTTACAATCAGAAGAATAAAAGAAAAAAGGAAGGTTTGTTTACTCATGAAGGTTTAATGAACTTTCTCCCACATAGAAGAGAGTTCTTCCACAGTGACTGCATGGTCCACAGATCAGGAAGGGAGAGAGAGCAACAAATAATAGAAGCAAGCAAACAGGAGATGAGGTAGTGCTCGCCTCAAGCCTGGGAAAAAATAACTTTGTGAATCAGTCGGTGGCAAGGTTTGATCATGTTTGGCTCTGAAGCCCCCTTTGCCCTCAAACCCAGTGTTAGGTTATATGCAAGGTTGGTATTTTCCCAACAGAAGATGCTATCTCTACACAGAGAGAGAAAGAGAGAGAGAGAGAGAGAGAGAGAGACAGAGACAGAGACAGAGACAGAGACAGAGAGACAGAGAGCTCTATGCACAGACTGTGGCAGTGTCAAACTATGCATAGTGGAAGCCAGTCATTAAACCTTAATGGGTGAACCATTATTCTTGCAAACAAGCCAGTGTTTTGTTCCCAAAGCAAAGCAAGGTTAATCTACAAACAATGAGAGGCATGAAAAGCTCTGCTTAGGACAATCAGACATTTTCACACTTAAGGAATTTCTCTTTTCCATGGATGTACTTTATATAATGTCTAGTTTGGTCCTTAGTGAAGGGGAGAGCATTTATATAGACTCTTTTTATTTTCTCCTGAACTCTTTTTTTTTTCTGGGGCATCACCTCCCAGAACAAAATAAGATCTCCATTTCAGAAAATCACATGGTGGGTAAAATAAATGATAACAGAGGAGAAGGACATTCATCCTTACATCCCCTTTGCATGCCTTTATATCAACCACAAACAGAATGCTTGACCAGAACTTGGAAAAATATGAGAAAGCCAATGGAACCTGCTATTAAAAATGCCCACGATTCTTGGGAGCTGGAAGGCTGAAGTAGTTTAAAGAGTGTCTTCAGCCACTGAATTGGCTGCTCAGGAAAACCTTCCCTGGGGCCCATCCTTGAACGCTGGGCGTGCTTCAACAAGGTTTTGTTTCTGCTCTGGCTTGAAGAAAATGTATATAGATAATACTTACCCTCTCACCCACAATACCAGGTTGGCCAGGCTCTCCTGTTTCACCCTGAAAAAAACAGAAGCAAAACGGATGTTTCTATGAATGTTGGATTGCAAGGAATTAATGGTGTTTGGTCTTGAATGGGCAATTCACAACCATTCACTTTACAAAAGACCTGTTCCTCCTTTGCTGACATAGTCCAACATAGCTGTCCGTCTTTTTGGATCCTCCTTATGGGACACTGGCTAAGAGGTCTGTCTTAACGGGCTCCTGCACTTTCATGAGGAGGCCTGCCTTATCTCCAGGTGGGCTGAAGATAACATGACTATATCACAACAGGAGAAGTGTGTTGCAGGAGAATAACAGATAACGGATTATGGACCAAGCATGCAGTGTGTCCCACTCTGGCTTCTTAGATGGCAAGGCTAGGTTAAAGATCCTAATTTATCAGCCTAAAGGCTAGTTTGCATATAAACATAAGTAATATCACCATCACCATCACCATCACCATCACCATCACCATCACCATCACCACCACCACCACCACCACCACCATCATCATCATCATCATCATCATCATCATCATCATCATCATCATCATCATCATCATCATCATCATCATCATCATCATCATCATCATTCTCTAACTGCAGGGCTGGAAGGGATCTTATGGATCACCAAGTCCAGTTCTTGTCAAGGAGGCCCAGTGGGGAATCGAACCCCTGACCTCTGGATGATGATATGCAGAAAACCTCTTTAAGTGAATGTTTCCGGAGTGAAAAAAGGGTGTTGGTGAAATATCCTGCCCTGTATTCTCAGGCTTAACATTGAGAAGATTTATACATTTAGAAAAATTACAAGCCAACTCAGAAAAAGCAGAATGTCTGCCTCAGCCCTGCTCTATCAGAAATTAATTCTGATCATGTCTTAAGAGGACCATAAAGGGTTTATAATAAATATAGTCACAAACATTCACACTGTGAAAAAACATTGCCTTTGTTTTTCTTACCTTAAGACCTGTTTTGCCAGGAAACCCATCTTCTCCTCTGTCTCCCCGCTCTCCCTGCACGATCATCAAACAAAAGTGAGTGAGAGGGACCGAATCTGTGTCATGAAATAACTAGCTCAGGGCAGATGACGATGCATTAAAGGAAATGAAGTTCCCGAACCCATGTACAAAGGAGGAAGTGCGGAAGGCTGGCAAGGGAAGAAGCGAATACAGTAGAGACAGCTCCAGGATTTGGGGAGTGGGTAGGGAGGAAAACCTATGAGTCACTGAAAGATGGATTTATTTACAAAAACATGTGAATATTAAACCTCATTAAAAACACTGGGATTTATTGAGCGCTGGTATAGTTTCTGAAAGCACTGAGGATTAGCAGTAGGGCTAACAACGTGATGTGAGTTGGATTAAGGAATAATAGAGAAGAGCTAAGCAAGGCTGTTGAGGACCGGACATTATGGAGATTGTTCGTTCATGGGGTTGCCACAAATTGGGGGCAACTTGACAGCACATAACACTCGTAGCAACAATGTGGTTTGGTTGTACATGCAGATCTTGTATTGCCTGAAACCATGAAGAAATTCAGACTCCCTCTCCCCTTCTCCAATCAACGCTAATCCAGGAGGAACCCGTATGTGTCATTCTTCCTTTTTTAGGTTCTGTGTATTGAAAAACATGACTTTTCCCCCCTCTAGGTATGGCACAATGACTGGGACACCATGAGTACCCCCAATGGGAAAATGACAATAGATCTGTTTGGACAATTTTTCTGACTTTTTAAAAAAATCTTTGTGTCACACAGTAAAATTTCATGGGCCATCTATGGCTTTGGCCAAAGAGGTTGGCCATTTGACTCAGTGGTTCTACAACACTGGTTTCCAATCTTGGGTTCCTAGATATTCTTGGACTACAGCTGCTGGAAATCCTGGCCAACACTGATAATGACGGTGACTTCATCTAAGCTTTTGGGAACACAAGGTTCTGGAGACCCAAGGTTGGGAAACACTGTTCTACACCAGTCTCCACTTCAGGAAGGAGCAGAAACCCATGAAGATTTCCTGTGCCTTCAGAACATGGCTTGCTTCTTAACATAGCTCCAATGAAGGAAGAGCTCAGCATTATTTTGTCGAATGAAAACGATACTCACTTTTAAGCCGGGCAAACCAGGTAAGCCATCCTGGCCAGGTTTTCCAGGTAAACCCTAAGCAGAACAAAGTAGACACAAATGTGCATCAGTTCTAGATGTTAGATATGTGTCAGCGGAGTTGAAGAGCACTCTGGCAGCTGAAAGATAGCTGTATTATTTTTTAGACAACCTTTTGTGGGTGCCACCCATTACAGAAGATGCATGATGTGTGGATCTAAATTTCAGGTGCTTGGGTGGATAAAAGGGGGAGGGAGAGAAAATGGAGACACGGAGAGGGTATTGCAAGTCCAAATAAACACAGACAATTGTGAATTTCTGTGGCTCTTCCCTTCTATTTTCTTGCTTCTACTGTTTATTTCTTGTAAAACTGTCACAATACTAAAAATAAAATAAAATGAAAAGCTAGCCATAAACATGAAATATGATATGAAAACAAGAAACATGATGCAAACAACATTAAAAAATGCACCATAGCAGTGAAAATAGCTATGAAATGACAACAGCATTTATTTTTCTGACGCTCAAATTGACATGGACAAGAGAGTGTTAAATTAGATATTAAGATACATCCATGTATGTTGTAAGTAGTGTATTTCTCTCTGAGAGAGGGCATTTCCTTAGAGTTGCAAGATCCTGGAAATTAGATTTTGAACCTTAATTCCAGTTTAACTTCTAATGAGCAATAGTGAAATGAAAGACACTAAAATGCAAGATGGAACGGTAACAAAAAGCAGGTGTAGGACAAACTGACTTTATTCGCCAAGTGAGACAGCATCACATCTGAATACATGCTAAGTGTCTCTGAGTCTAGGTTTAAGAATTGTACAGAAGAATCTTAACTCCAGGCTATATCAATTCATGCCGGAGATTAGCATATTTACTCCTTCATGCAATCGTGAACACAAACTTAAGGGCCTATCTTACCTTTGGAGGCATGGAATTATGGCCTAAATCTCATTTATCTGTCCTGAGAAGACCCACTGAAGCAGTTTCTGAATAATAATCTGAGAATCGCAGAGCATTGATTGTCTAGTGCCTGTCAGGGAGGCACAGTAGGGAACTGAACTCCCAACTTCTGGCTCCTCGGCCATATAACTAAACCACTGAGCTATCCAGCGGTTCTGAATAGTAAGTCAACAACTGTATAAAACTCATTGATGCATTGGGTCTACCCTAGCAGGAGGAGCACCTGAATTTAGCCCTATGCGTACAAGGGAATAAGGCTCACTAGACAAAATGGGAGCTAGTTCCAATTAAATGGATCTAGGATCATGTGGATTTTTCCTCCTCTTATGGATGATCCAGTTTTTTGTTCTATTGGGTAGTCTTTAAAAATGGCCAGTAGATGTCAGCAATGCCAAAGAAAACGTCCTAAGTCCTAAGTGAAGTGGTTATGAAGAATTCTCTCACACACTTTCAAAGCATCTCTTCAAATCCAAGTTAGGACCTGCATATTTATCTATTTCCTCCTCCTGGCTGACAATGAAACCACTTCTTTGTGGTTGTGAAAAACAGAGGTGTTTGGAGGGGATTTGTATTTTACACAGAAAACCTTTAATTTTGTGTGTGTGTGGGGGGGGAAATTGTATATTGTGAATATCAGGTTTTTAATCTGAAATACAAAGTTTTAGTGCAAAACATGGGTCTTTTTTGGTAAATGCTGTTAGAGCAGTATGATGATGGAATGAATCATACTTTGGTAATGAAAATTGGGCTTTACACACTTTTCCTAATCGAGGTATTTTTGTACACAACAGCTTCCTTGTGCTTATTTTTCAATGGAAGATATTTTAGATATTTGAGAGACCTTGTGTCTGGGAATCATAAAATAGATGGAAGGGGCCTGTAAGACCATCATATCTAACCCCCTTCTCAAGCCAGGAAAGTAAATCAGTGTAGATCTGAAAGATGGTTATCCAATTTTCTCTTGAATTGTCCCAATGTTGGCTATTCAGCCTAAATTTGGCTTTCTATAGCTTGAGCCCATTATTATGTGTCCTGCACTCTGGAGTGATTGAGAACAGATCCTGCCCCTCCTCTGNNATTCAACCAATATATTCCAAAACTTAGAAGGATTCTGAATATAATCTAATTAATTTATTTTGGAGCCATTTGTGCTCCATCCAATTCAATATGGAACCCAGATCCAAAACAAATCTCTTTATAGACTCAATTTGCTTCACTCCAGAATGGAATCTCACTGTTCTTTGATTTGGACCTTATCCAGATTGGTCCAAATCAGCTCAATTTAGTTTCAGATTTTGATTTGTCTGGATCTGGTCCACAGGCCTAATTTAAACACAATGTTGCAGCCTCTGTTGCAAGACAAGGTAGATGTGCCTATCATTTATCTCACCACTTCTAGACCAATCACATGTAGTGTGTTCTGAAAGGTAGACAGCCATTCTTCTAATCTCAAAATTTTCCTGGGCTTGCTTGTTTTAATTCACTCAACCAGAAAGACACACTCTCGTCATTCCAAGTCTATTGTATGGGTATACAGTAAAGCACTTACTGGAGGTCCAGGCTGTCCATTTCTTCCCACTTCTCCAGGTAAACCCTAGAGCCGAAGAACAAACAAGCAAAACCTAAGATCTTCAGGGTATTTGCCACTCAATTATTCATCTAAAAACCACTAGTGCAGAATTTTGGGAGTTGTAGCCCTTGTTAAAAAAAACAAATGAACAAAACAAAACCCATAAAGCTGAATACCTATACAAATGTCAAAGCCTAACCAAAGAGGTCCCTGCACCTCACTTAGATCCAAATAGAACTTCCCTTCTTCAAGCAGACTCTTAAAGGACAGCTTATTCCATACAGAGTTATTTCCTAGAAGCCTCCACTGAAATTCTAAGGGGCTCCGGAAACAACATTTGCACTCCATTTCAGTGGAGCTTGTGTCAGAGAATACCCTC